GCACACGATAGATTACTCCGATTGTCAAAATAACGAGTTGTACTATCGTGCTGGGGGTACGAATAAAACCAGGAAGAGGAGTCCCCGAAAACAGGAAACTCAATGCCCCTGTTTCCAACTCATTCGGGCGGTATTGTCTGAATGCAACTGCATTAAGGCAGTCCCCGAAAGAGTTTCAGTTTTTGAAAGACTTAGTGCGGAGACGCCAAAACCAAGGCCTAGGCGTTCCCAACGAAGAAGAAGGATGGTTGAAGACGGAGAACTTCCGAGGGTCACCACCAATATGACCAGCAAGGGGACATCGGCACAGGATGATTTCGAGTCGATTCTGAAAGCATCCCGGCGTCTAACCCGTCTGCAGTCTAGAGCAATCGCACGAGGAACTTATAGTAGGGTTCGGACAAGAGTACCTTCAGAAGGTGAAGAGTCGGATACCTGCTCCACAGTCGCATCAGATAATACAGTGTCTAGTGAGGGGGAACCCCGCGAGTCACTGATGATAAGCGCGGAACAAGTGGCCAAGATGCTCGAAGATGCCATAGCCAAACAACAGGAAAGCTTTAGGTTCGAGATGCAGATGGCCATGCAGACTATGAGAGAGATGCATGAGCAACAAATTCAGGCACTGACGAACCAGCGAGGTGAACCAAGCCACCGTAACCAGGTTGTTCAGGAAGAGGAGCACACGGATAGGGATGAAGCTCACAATGCCAATAACCCTCCCGTCAATGCAGGGGGTGGTAACGAGGATGCCAACGAAGATACAAGTGAAGACTTGAAGATCAAAGATCTCGAGAGCAAAATCAACACATTGATCTCCGCTCAAGAGACGAAGAAAACAGGCATTCCCTGTCCATACCCAAGAGAGTGGGAATCGATCCCATATCCGGCGAAGTTCAATCTAATCAACTTCACGCCGTTCGATGGGAAGGGTTCCCCCACTCAGCATTTGATTTATTTCAAATCGCACCTGGGTATTATTTCCGGCAATGAGCCTCTGATGGTGCGGTCATTCGTCGGCACTCTTCGCGGAGCCGCCTTCGATTGGTATCGCCGCCTCAAGCCAGGAAGCGTAAATAGCTGGGACGACATGGAGACAAAATTCCTCGCTAACTTCTTCGACGACGACACCGAGATATCTATCGGATCATTGCTCGATGAGAAGCAGAAGGACGGGGAGTTAGTCGACACCTTCGTCAAAAGGTTCCGGAACAAGGCGATGAATTGCCGGGACCCGATCACAGAGGAATTCATCCTCCAAACTTGCCACAACAACCTTGCGTTGGACGTGTTGGAAGCAATGGGAACAGCACCGTCTGACACTTGGAAGGATCTGAAGGTCCGAGGGGAGCAGGCTGAGCGATTCCTTAGAAGGAAGAAGGCCGAGAGGAACCAACCGACGGTTACTTCACTTGTAGCCATAATCTGATGATGAATGAATAGTTTTGTTATTATAATGCAACAGAAATATATAAAGCATTCATTCAACAGAATAATCATGCAGTGTAACATTTCGTTTTTAAGTATTGCAGACATCATTAACATGAAAATCAGAATGCTAATCATGATACTATTCTAAACAACACTTATTAGTTTCTTGGATTGTTGGGAATAGAAGCTGTTTAGAGTATAATTAACACAAAATGCAGTTTTAACAGAATTAGATAATGATTCAAAATAGATATAAAATTAAACTGAGTTTAGAATATAGCCTGATGGTCGAGGCGTGCAAGCACTGTCCCAAGAAACTAATTGCCCCCTCTCGTACAGGGCTACGCGGCAAAAGTCCCCGGAGATACAACGACCCTCGGTCAGGCGACCTCCTTCTCGTCGGCACGAGCTTCAAGAAGGCTTTGCGAACTCTTCTAGACTTTCAGGGAACCAGCAAGTTGTAATAGCAAGCGAGTGTAAGAAGAAGAACAGAGCTGAGAAGGAAGAGGAGAATTTTGTGTTTTTCACACTGTGTTTTCTACCCTCGCAGCTTGCTGTTTATATAGAGGTTGAGAATGAACGTTTTTCAATACCGAATTAAATCCTCATAAAAACATTTTTTCCGTTTTGATTCTGTTTTAATTCTCATGAATATTACCGTTTCATTTACATTTTAATTCAGTTTTAAAGTTCATAAATCTCTCCAATTAATTCTGGCCGTTAAACATTTTAAAAATGTTAATCACGTTTTAAACAGTTCCAATTAGCAAAAATAAAAATAAAAATAAAAATGTTAGCATATTAAGGGCCCATTAATCCGGAGCTGCATTCGTGTCTGCAGGACCCGAACCCGAGCCTGAGCCCGGCCCGGCCGGCGCGCGCGTGTGTAGTGTGGAGCATAACCTTTTGTTTTCTTCTAGGCATAGGAGAGAAAGGGAAGGCTTATAAAGACTCTTCCTTCCTATTCCATTTCCTATGTGGGACTAAACTTTTCATCTTTTCCTCTACAAACCCAAGTTTTTAAGTTATAACTCCAACAGTTTGATTACTTGAAAGTAAAATACGAAAGCGTGTGAGTGAGTTATTTTTACCACTTCTAGGGTTTGTTTTATCGAAAATGTATATGAAAGTAAAATACAAAAAGCATGCCACGTTGGATTTAATGTAACTATTTTTTGAAGTACCCCATCTATTTTCATAATTTTTATCCATAACTATCGCCTCTCACATCTTGCTGTTATGCAGTTAGCAGGTAATAGGAGATAACAATTATAGTTAGTTTTTTTTCTCAATCATCTTACGTGCTTTCTTCATTGCTTCTAACTGTTATTATGATGGCATGTTTGTAAACATTTCCATCGAATTATTATTTGTCTTACTTTTTCTTCTTCATCTCATCCACAACTAAAATGATCTTGACCCTTAGCCTTTTCCCCCTCAATCCTGTGATTCTCGTAGTTATTATTCCCTTGCTATTTGTTTGTAACAATTATCTTAAGCCCTTACTTGCATAGTTTAGTTGTCCTCCTCCAATTTCTTGCTCTTTTTTTTTTTGATATTTTTGGATTTGATTTTGCATCCACAACCATGAACAGCACCAAAAATAACATCGACTTCCTATTATTATTTAGCCAATTTAGAATTTCTTTTTTCCCCCGGCTTCAGTTGGGCCGCAACAACCGCTTTCTTTTCTGTACCCGTCCTTTCAACGTTTTATTCCCTCGTAGCATTTAATGAGATCAATCCGTATGCGTCGATTGTACTCTGTACCGTTTGTTGGAGCAAAGTTGCTGGACTTAAAATATTTACACCCACTAATTGTATTATTAATCCTAATACTGGCTAATCATGTTATTTTTCTGCTCTAGGGTGTAATCTGTTGCATTTACACCCACTAATTGTATTATTAATCCTAATACTGGCTAATCATGTTATTTTTCTGCTCTAGGGTGTAATCTGTTGCAGTGATATCACTGATAAGTCACGCATGTAGCATGATTTAGACAATATATGCACATGATTTACAGATGATAGCATGATGATTAATTGTAGTACAATTGGAAGTTAAGCGGAGTTTTCAGATAATTGTCCAAAGGGGGTTCTGATATTCCCCCCCCTCCCCTAACTTTGGATGATTATCAGAAAACCCACCTTAACTTCCAAAATATAAGGAAACCCCCTTAAGTATAGGGATTATCACAAAACCCATCATTTAGCTTTTAGATTTTATCAGAAAACCCTATTTCACTTTCAGAATGACGTTGATTCACTTTCACACTTGCAAAAAAAAATGGCTTTGGCACTTTCAAGTAACTTTCTACTTGCTAAACACCCCATTAGCTCAACTAACTTCTTGGACCTAAATTGACATATCTGAAGGAGTTACTGAGATGTGAAAGCATATTAAAACCTTACTTTCAAGATTATTATGACGTCTTGCATATTTGTTCTCACTTCTCAGCACCCAAAAGAAAAGAAAAAAAAAATTGTTAAAAATAAACGTTTGCATATGTTCACATTTCTCTACATCTTGTAATGGTCCTAATGTACTCCGCCCCACCCTCCACCCCACCCCACGAAAGGCAATGTACTTATGTGGGAAACATAATATACAGCGCAACGGGAACAACATACTATAACTACTAATCAAAATTAATTAAAAACTAGAAGAATACGTAAAATGTTTTCTGAATTTCTACAATAATATGTCTCGAAATCAATCCAAAAATAGCTTTCTCAAGAGAAAATGCCTCCAATTGAAATCCACCTGTCACTGAAAAGAAGCAGTACTGAGAGATAGGTTCTCAAATTTCTATTTCTATTCTATCTTCATATTATCTTCTTATGGTTCTCAAATTTCTATTTCTATTCTATCTTCATATTATCTTCATAAGATTTTCTATATATTCATAAGTCTACATATGAACTCTATATATAGGATTAGACTAGTTTTAGAGAATTTTAAACAATTCATAATTGTTCAAAACTTTATCCATAACAATTAAAGATAGAATAGATTTGCTCAAAAACTTTATTCATAATAATTAAGGATTGAAATAGAATTGCATTGCATGTATACCTCTTCTAATGACATTAGTGAGACCAATTTGGTCCCATATCGAGAACCAGTTATTAATCAAATTAATAATTTTAATTTAACAATCAAATCCCTATCCGATCAATTGTTCATAAAAACTCTTCTATAAAATAGGATTAATTATTAATAAATAATATCTTACGTTCAGTACCCTCCAGTATTATTTATTTTAGATAACTCTTTTAAGCAGGACAACTCACCTATTTGCTCATGCCTAAATTACAATTCCCATGAACATAAATAAAAATCATTTTAAAACATCAAAATATTTTATTTTATTTATAAGAAAGTAAAAACAATATTTTCAAAACCACCTGTCGGCAGGAATTTAATAACTTCATGTGAATGTATAATAAATTAACTCATCATAATGAGCATACTGAATCCTATCTAGATATCCATCATTTTCCTAAATAAAATTTAGCAACCCAGCATTTTAGGTTGTATAATATTTGCTAAACAAGCTTAACAATCACATCAAAGTATACTAAATTAACAAATCGAAAATGACAATATCATCAAGTCAAATAGATCATGTAACAATCTGAAATCTCTATCTCCTAGGTGACTCGTCCTAGAGAATCCAAATACGGTCTAGTGCTACACACATCACAATGCATGCTTATGACATACATCCAGAGGATCCACATTCTCGGTGGTTGAGACCCACCACCACATCTCTAATATCGGTGCCATGCATAATAACCTGTTATAACAAAGTTATCATTTACCAGTTATAGATTAAGCACAAATTTAAGAAATTTCTAAGTTATATCATATTTTCAAGCAGGTGACCATCACAATGCATGATCTAACAAAATAACTTCTAAAGATATATAACAATTATATAAATAATACACAAAGTATATGTGCAACAATTAAATTTATTAACATTACAATATTATTACATAATTTGTATTGAATGTTCAAGGGCATATTATTATTACTATTCCAGCAACTTCCACACTGAAGGATCCCTTAACTTTTAGAATATCAAAAAACACCACTTAAGTTTTGAGGTTATCAGAAAAACCCCTTTAACTTTCAGATTTTATCAGAAGGCCCCTCTAATTTAAGAGGGCTTTCTGATAAAATACAAAAGCTAAAAGGGGTTTTCTGATAAAATATAAAAGTTAAACGGGAATTTTGTGGTAATCCCTATACTTAGGTGGGGTTTTTTGATATTTTGGAAGTTAAAAAGGAGATTTTCTGATAATCATCCAAAGTTAAGGGTGGTTCCCTGATCTTTACCCACAAATATTTGTCCAAAGTGAGGAAAATTTTGAATCATCGCCAAACAAGAAGGTTTCGAAATAAGTCCACTGATCCAAAGGTATTAAATCTGAAGCATTGAGAAGTTTCTCACCGTGACTATTTCATTTTTCATCCGCGTATCATCAGAGCACCCATCAAATTGACAATCTGGAAAAAACAAGGTGAGTAGCAGCAAATTAAATATCTAAGAGCATTTAACATTCCTACGATACCAGTCGTTGAAAGCAAAACAATAAAAAGTTTTTATCAAAAATTTTCAAGTAAAGCTACATTAATCTGTCTAATAAAACAAATCTTGCAAAACCCGAAAGCTCAGCCTCGGTAGAATTCAAGATTCTTAACAGGAACCACCGGCCGCCTTGAATACTAATCATGAACTGATGAAGCCTGCGCACAATTTTTAAAGCAAAATATCTGAAATCGATAAACTCTACAGATCTCCATACCAAATAGAACTAGAGTGCAGTTTGTTTCCATAATTGATTCTTTTAGTTACAAATGTAACAATATAGTATAGATCACAACTATAGAAAAATTATTTATGGACATCTCTCACCAGACTGGAAATCAAAGAACATACAGGTAACAGATGGAATGTAGTGGAAGCTGGCTACTATCATTCGCATCCTTGGCCGACCATGGTGGTAGGGTGTTCATCGCGTGGATTGCACATCCATATCTGCAGTGGCTGTTGATGTGCTCCCATGAACTGAGATTCTACTAAAGCTGATGTAAAGGCCGAAAAAAATAAGGACATAAAATTAGAAATAGAATAACTTTGATCAAATACCAAACTGTTCACAAGTAAGCTTCTCAAAATCTTGAAATATTCACTCCGTACCTTTATGTTTGGTATTGAAAAAGAAAATTGAAAATTAAATTCCAGTTCCCACGACTCTGGCAAAATAGTATTTCTTTATCAACTCTCATGGGGAAAGACCTCTCATCTCCTATACCCAGTTCGAATTTTGCCAATAATGGAAAATGCTCTTTGATGGTTTCCAAAGAACACCTAGCTGCAAAAGTGGATGATGATGAAGAGGGAGCATATTAAACATGTGCTGAAAGCCAAGTAAGAAAATATGTAAACAGAAATGTCGCTATCGCTGCTTAAGCAACACAAACTCGCTATTGCAGGAGATGGGATTTCTGGTTCAGCCATAAATTCACCTTTATGCTTAGAAGGCATGTAAACAATAGATATTATAGGGGTCTAAGTACAGTGGAAAAAACATGCGTGAGCGAGTTATCGTAATCAATATCACCTGAGCTTTCCACCTACAGACTATGACATACAAAGAAGTGTAAGGAAAGATCTGATGGAATTTTCACAATAGGCTACAAGCCCAACTTGACAGCTATAATGATGCAGGACACATAATGAGCAAATTCACAAAGAAGGGAGATCTTCATAAATGAAATGCGGTAATGGATGAATTATTAACTTGTGCAGGACGCATAATGAGCAAATTCATGAAGAAGTGAGATCTTCATAAGTGAAATGCAGTAATTGATGAATTATTAACTTGTCCGCAAAGAAACGACCATATCTCCCAATCCGAAAAACTGATTCTAACATATTATATGCGAAAATCGCCCATTTTTGACAAGACGAAGCCACAAATTTCCGAATTCACATCAATATCACTGATTTTCGCTGAAAATCCGAAACTAATCATCTTTTATTTATTTTTAGTAGTAAAGTTGGAGTCAATTTAGATTAGGAAACAAATTCAATATTGGAGTCAATTTAGATTAGGAAACAAATTCAATTTAGATTCATGATTTATTTCTTCTATTATAAGAAGTCTTTTTAGGGTAGGATTTGATACTTTCTATTTTTTTGTAATTTTAGTCTCATTAGGAGTCTATTTCGTTTTTTTATTTAAGAAGAGACATGTAACCCCAAAATTATTAGATAATTTTTCATCGACAAAATTCCTCTTTATTACATTCTTTTCGTGGATTCGGAGATTATTCTTTGTGGATTCAGAGACCAACCCTTGGTGTATTATGAGATTTCTTATTTTCGGGCTGCGATAATTGCTATCAAAACATTGTTTCCGATCCGAATGCAAGTGGCGAAGTCCCTATTAACCAAACTCAGATTAAGACTCATTTAGACCGACTTGCGCTGGCAATGAGCGTCTGAATTCGGGACGAGTTTGAAATCATATTAATGGTTGTCAAAGACGTGCTAGGACTTTGCAAGAAGAATTAGCAACATCAATACAAATGATGCCCCTTGCCGAAATCATGATCGTCGAGACTACACAAGATGGTATATATATGATACTGAAAACATATGAGGGTTGATTTATTGATTTTTAATGGAAAACTCGGTGTAGACGATTTTCTTAATTGAATTGATAAGGTGGAGAGATTTTTAGATACTTGAGAATTTCAGAAAATTAGAAGGTTAAACGAGTAGCCAATCGACGTAAAACATCTTTTTAGTGGCAATCATTATGTAAGGATCAAGCCCGCAGTAGAAGCAAAAAATCTGATCATGGGCGAAGATGAAGGAATTAATGAAAGCTCGTTTTCTTCTAACATATTTTTATGTGCTCGATCAATCCCTGAGTTCACACTCTAACTATAATCATGGAGGCATTGACCAACCCCAATCTATCCCTAAGCAAGACCCTAAAGTTATGAAGAGCATTGAAGAAGAAATAAAAAAAAGGAGAATCATCTAAAAATCACAATATCTTCCGCACGAGATGCACCATAATGCAAAAGATTTGTGATGTTATCATTGACAGTTGCAGTAACGAGAATATATGGCGAAAAAGTTGGGTTTGAAAATAGAGAAACACCCCGCTCGCTATAAGATCGACTGGATACGAAAGGGCAATGATGTGCAGATTAATGAGGTGCGTCAGGTGCCTTTTTCTATCGGCCGCAATTATATTGATGAGGTGCAGTGTATTGTGGTCGAGATGAATGCTTATCATATATTTTTAGGTAGGCCATGTTAGTTCGACGTCGGTGTCACCCACAGGAGCAAAGACAATGTTTACATCCTCAAAAAGGATGGACGTCAAATTGTACTTATGCCTCTTGCAGAAAAGGAGTCATCTAAGATAGAGACTATTGAGAAAAAGAAACTTTTGGTGGTAGACAACGAGACTTTTACAAAAGACTTGAAGCAACATGAAGAAACTAATGCCTCGATTGTAACTGGAAAAGAAGAAAGTGTCCCTATTGAGATTCCTCCTGGGATGCAAGCCCCTGTTGTAACTGAGATTTTTTTTGATATTGACATGTCAGTGAATATTGAGGTTATGCACAAAATTTTCAAAGCAATTGTGAACGATGTAACACCAGCTGATGCTATTTTGATAGAGGAGAGGGGTAAAGTAGAGGAGGCGATTAATCATATGTGTAACTTTCTTAGTGAATGGTCTAGAAAAAAGGAGATAAAGTGTGTGAGAAATTCTTCTTTTGAAATAAATAGTGTCAATAATTTTGATAAGATTGAGATGAAACTTCAGGCACAAGAATATGAAAAGCAACAAGGAAAAGATTTGGAGGAGTTTTTCAAGTCATATGTAGATCCGCATGCCGTCGGTCACATAAATGTGATGTAGGAAAGATTCATATACAAGTTTGAATCAGAAAAAGTTCTGATCAAGAAGATAAAAAGAACAATCAGAAAAGATTAATGCTAAATACAAGACGGTGTTGACCGATGCTAAAGAAGAAAAATGTTTATCTTGGAAGCTACTATTCGAGAAAATATAAGCTCAGGGTCAAGCTTCTTTCAACAAGGGGAGATTGATGTAGGACGCATAACGAGCAAATTCATGAAGAAGTAGAATTTTCATGAGTCAAATGCAGATACGGATGAATTATTAACTTGTTCGTAAAAAATGACTATATCTCCCAATGTGAAACATAGATTCTAACACATTATATATAAAAATCGTCTATCTTGATGAGATGAAGCCATCTAGATTGACAGATTTCTAAATTCACATCAGTATCACAGGTTTTTGGCATAAATCCGAAAATAATCAGCTTTGACTTATTTTTAGTAATAAAATTAAAGTCAATTTAGATTAGGAAATAAATTCAATGTTGAAGTCAATTTAGATTAAGAAACAAATTCAATTTTGATTCATGATTTTTTCTCTCTATTATAAAAAGTTTTTAGGGTAAGATTTGATACTTTCTATCTCTTTGTAATTCTAGTTTCATAAGGAGTCTACTTTATTTTTCTATTAAAGAAGAGACATGTAATCCCAAATATATTAGACAATTTTTTATCAATAATTTTTTTATCATATTCTCTTCATGGATTCAAAGTTCTTCGTGGATTCAAAGATTATTCTTTGTGGATTCAAAGAGCGCCCCTCGGTGGATTCCAAGGGTTTGTTTTACTTCCGAGTTGCGTTATATAAATCATTGTGAAAGGCCTATGGAAATCATTAAGTATACTAGTAACTTGTTCACCAATTGGCTTTGATAATTGTTCTTTAACCTATGAAACCAAGGAAACCTTCCAGATTCTACTAAATACTGGCGCCTAGATTAAGAGGAATAATGATGTTGATCTCTAAAGAGGTTCATTCTAAACATGCTACCAAAATAGAGTTATTATATTATTTTTCTCCAAAATAATTAATGAAAACTTCAGCCGATGGGCATTTTCCCTCTCTTTTTCGCCTTTGTCATTTTCTTTTCCCTTGAGGTATTGACAGAAATCTATATGATCTAGTAGAGAAGTGAGAATGAAATACCTTATATGCATCATTTTCCGCCTCCACAGCCTTGCAGAGTTGCAAGCTTGGCAAGTCTACATATAGCATCAAAGTTCCTTTGTTTCATCGCTTCTTTCTCAAATATGGCATCAGATAATACCACCGCTGCTGCCCCTCCCTCAATGTATCTCCTCATTGAATCTGTAAACAACCAAGACAGTGTGTCACGTAGGTTTTCAATCAACTAAACTAACACTTCGTTCATTGTTGCCGCAAAAGCTCTTAGATAATTGGTTAAATTGCAGAAACTTTTCTGTACTGAAAATATTCTATAGCAAAAATCCATAAATTATATTAAATAGATAACACCTTGTTTTTACTGATGTTAACCCATCTTTGATTACAGATTCTATAAGGAGACACATTGAGGGAGGGGTGACCGCGGATCATCTTAACATTAGATCATGATTTGTAAGTGGTGCCTAATGTCTTAGTGTTGCTCCCAGAGTCTCTAGAAAAGGTATGTTTGCAAGGGAGAGAATTGAATTGTAATGAATCTAATGATAGAAATGAGCTAATGATGCAGATAAATTAATCAAGAAAATTTTTTGACTTGACAAGTAGACATTAGGGAAATCGGAGGAAGAAATGACCGGTTGATGGAAGAAAGGGCAAAAACTAGGTGTCCCTCTCTTCCTCTTGCTAAGTGTGAATAAGAGGCATATACTTGAGTACTCCAGCGATTGCCAATCAGAATTCAAGCCTACGCAAGAATTTGGTTTCCACAAGTGAAAGCCTGATTATCAGCACTTTCTCATAAAATCTATGCAATTATTGCGCTTTATAGCTAGTGAAGAATGGATTCAATATTGCTAATTGTTTTATTTTGTTTTCCATATACATTAGCTTTATATAAGCAACATTTTCTGAGAACATATATTGGCAGTTATGTATATTGAGTATTGACCGTTACATTAGCATTCATTTGTATTAGTCAGCACAATTACACAGTGCATATAGGTCTCATTCAAACGCACAACCAACCAGAACCAAAAAAAGAGACTCTTTTCCCAACATTTTTAGGTTAGGTCATCCACATGAATCCTTTTCATCCATTCAGCTCTCTCAAGGGATGTGTCCTTGGCCCTACTGGTTTTAGATTGTAGATATGAAACCTATAAGCAGGTATATACAAACAAAATGAAAAGGATAAAAAGTAGTTAATAATGGCAGGTTGATGTGTGCAATCATAAGAAAGTAAAATAGATACAGGCATTAGAAGAAAGTATACCTATTGTAATGCCTTGGGAAGCAACCATTGGAACATGAAAAAAGGGTTTCTTGAGTGCTGATATATATTTTTCACCACCAAGAGTTGAGACCGGATAAACCTAATAAAAGAAACTAGCTCACTCTGTGACACATTAAATTTGTTTACATATGTGAGTGTGCATGCGTGCAGGCATTGTGTACATCTATACATACATACGTACATGTGTATGTGCGCGCGCGTATGTGTAAATGATATTATGAGTTGGTGAGCTAAAATTTTTATCATGAGCTAGTATAATCTGCCATTTAAAATCAATGATCGATGTCGTTCATCTTGTTCAAAATATCAACAGGCCTATATGCAGATAAATTTAAATAGTTTTGAATCTTCTAAAATATTATCAAACTAATTTGATGTGTTAATTTTACAGACATCATAGAGCTTTTCATTTTGCAAATAGTTGATACATTGATTAGAAATATCTAACTATGTTTTCCTAAACAGGTCATGTTAGATGCAAATCAAGATGAATGATAGTGAAATTGAGTAATTAACTTACGATAAGAATCTCATCTTACCATACATATGTGTGTATACACATACGTATATACGTACAGTGCATATTTACTGGATATAGACATTTCATAAAACAGAAAATGTTTTTCACAGGAATTTACTATACCTTTCAGAAAAAAATAGGACGTGAAATCTGTGGTTCAGGACGTTTTAAAAAATCCTCAACATGCAATGCTAAAATTGAGGCAGCAAAAAAAACTTGCAGACCATGCCTTTCTAGAAAAATAGTTGAGATTTTGAGCTTTCCAATGATTACATATGGAGATACTTTGAGAGTTCCATAATCGAAAGTAGTGAAGTTGCTTACATTTAAGGCATGTGTCTCCAGATATAATTCATTAGGTAGAGGCAGGAGACAGGATCACGTATATAGCATGTACTACAACATCCAATAAAGTATGGAAAATTGGGAATACTTATTATAACATGTCTGATAAAACTTCTGCCATATTTTAAAAATTATTCTGCATCTGAGAGTAGAAGCTAAATTTATATTCTTGAATCCTAGAGTTGATGTTCTAATCTCTTGCTAATGAATCTATACAATATTTTTTCCCTGAATAAATGGTTAACAGGATTATCTGGGTGTATTAACTTATTAACTTGAATTATCTTATCAAGATCCTACTTATTATTTCCATTTAAATTGGTTTTGTAAATGTCCATGTAACCCTACCATTTTGGATCCTATTCTTTTCCAACAAGTGGCTTTTCTTTGTGCCCATGGTCACAAAATTGAAATTCATAAAAGAATGTTGCATGTCACAAGTTAGGCATTAGGAAAGCTAACAGGAAATTCAGAAGGTTATTGCAGATAGCTTGCAATAAAAAGTGAATATATGTCTATAGTAGATAATTCATTTATGATACAAATAAAAATTATGCAGTGTTCTAGTCCACGAATTTACTCTCTTAATTGAAAAAGATATTGAAAAGAAAGCAAACTAACCTTTAATAGACAATCTGTAAATTTGTTGGTATTTTGGGAATAATACTTTGAATTAGTTAGTGCAAACATTTTTATCGATATCTGTGACATCTCTTCAAATGAGTATTCATTAACAAATTATACACAAATTCTCAACAAAATTCATGAACATTTTATTAATGAGATATGATTTTTTTTAATGGCCACATTGTATTATATCTGCACATCTGAACTCATGCACCCCAAATCACTAACACCAAGATATCGAATTTTATAGTGGAATAGTTCTCTCCTCCGGTGTGTGAGTACAGGTTTATATCCCAGGTGATATTTGGATGGGCCTTACTTATAAGCTAGACTGACAATGAGACTGAAGCTAGGCTTCCATTTGTAGGGGTCCAGTTCTTTTGGTTTATCTTCTTTCGCCGTAACTTGATCTAGTCAAACTCAGATCACCTGAAAGTAAAAGCTGAAAAGAGAACAAAACTGGCATACCTTAACAATTTTTGCTCCAGCATTAGTTGCACATAATACCTGTAAAAATTAAAGATAATCTTTGCCAGCAAAAACTGTGAAGATTGATGAAATAATTCCATATAAAGATAAAAAGGTTTTCAAAGGGATGAGAAGAGTTAGGTTTAAGCATAAATGAGATACATGAATAAAATAGTTTTCATAAAATAGAGAAAAAAATAAATGAAAATCTTAGGATATGTCAAAAGAGTAGCTGACACTTATCAAGTGTCTATTATCGAACATGCATGAGGTATGCTTGTATATGTTCCTCTTCAATTATCAGTGTCACATAAGTGCTCACTTTTCCTCCCTCAAAAGACATTATGAGATGAAACCAAAATATGAGTTCATCTAAAATAGGAACTTTTTTAAGCTTTGACGATAATATCTGTGATAATCATTTTAATTTAATCACTAAGAATACTTCCTTGTGTTATATTCTTCTTTCAGAGTTCGTACTATATTCCAATAAGACATCATAGGAATGATTCAACTTTCTTAGACATTATGCAAACTCTCTAGTCTCCCACATCAGTGTCCCAACATACATTTTCCCCCACACCAAACAAGACAAGTGCTTACTTCTGTAGGTGTCATTACTCCAGGAATATAAAGAACATCACCATCTTGAACATCACGAAGTATTTCCTGCAGCAAGAACCATTAGCGTTAACAGTCAATTGTGACGCTTTACTTAACACAAAAGAAACAATTCAAAGGTGTTGACATATTAGTATTATTAGGGACTTATTTGTAAGATTTGTAGGGGCCTATATAAAGCCCAAGAGATATCATAATGAATTAGGGTTTTCATTTCTTCATGGTATCAGAGCCGGCTGCCTCCCCTCTTCTCTCCTAGCCGCCGCCCCCTCCCCCCCCCCCCCGCCCCCCCCTCGCCCCATTCGCGGGCATATGGCGCAACAGAACCCCCCCAGACCGCCGCACTTCGCTGACCCTCCTCTCCTCTGCCTGATTCCCTAACTCGACCCCCTGCCCCTGACCCCGATCCCCTGACAGCGAACCCCCCCCCTTGACGGCGACCCCCTGAAACCCTCCCTGACCAGCGAAGCCCCCCCCTGTTTTTCAGATCCCAACCAGCCCCCCCTGTTTTGTTTTTTTTTTCCGATCCCAAACAGCCCCCCCGCCCTGTTTTTTTCCGATCCCAAACAGCCCCCCTGCAGACCTTTGCCGCCGCTTGCTGCGCTATGCTGGACCTCGAGTTTGGCATGGGTTCCCTTGACTCAGTCCTCGAACTGATGACAGGAGAGTTTATATCTCACATCGATTGAGATATATAACTGGTTTTGATTCTTGGTTTCCTCTGAGATACGAGAATTTTGTTTGAGCTCCTACTCTTGTTGTGCAGCAGAGGTGGCTGCCGAAATTTTTACTGCACACAACAAGGGTCGGAGAGAAGGTGAACAGGTGGGGGTCTGAACGCTATTCGATGGAGGAGATCATCAAAGAATTGAACCCGCGGAGGTGTCCACATGCATTGAGAAGGTGAAGGACGTCTGGGAGAAGTTAGAAGGACGTATGATGGAGTGGGAATAACCTGCGGGTATTCCAGATTAAAGGAGAGATCGACGCCACAGTCCAGGGTGAAAGAGCTGTACAGGAATATGCTACAGAGTTGGAACGCCTGTGGCTGATTATGATCATTTCTCTCCCGGCTTTAGCTGCAAAGGACGCCGGGAATGTAAAGAGCGGGAGGCCTTTCTACAGGAGAGGACTATGGTGTTTCTTAAGGGATTGACATCAGAGTTCGCTCAGCGAATTGCATTGCTCCTAGCTCAGCCGAAGATTCCCACGCTTGAGGAGGCTATCTCTGCTATGATCCAGGAGGAGACTCGCATTCGGCTGCAGGCGGGGACAGGTGGACTTCCTGTGGTGAAGTCAGCACTGACAGCCTCTAGCAACACTGGATCTAGGAGAGAGACTCGACAGTGCTATAACTGCGGTGCGGTGGGTCATCTACGGCATGCTTGCACCAAGCCATCCAAGGATGGAGATTCGGGTGGACGTGGACAGTTCGGAGGTCGTGGTCGTGGCCGTGGGGGTCGACGAGGTGGAAGAGGAGCAGGGAATCGGGCGAATCTGACGGTAGCAGAAGAAGAAGAAGCTGAGGTGGTCTTTACAGAGGAGGATCGTGCTCTCCTCACGATACTCAGGAAAAAACAGCAAGTAGCAGGGGATGGAGATTTGAGGAATGGGACTGCGGAGGCATCTACTTCGTTCTTCGTCAGAGGCAACACTGCTACCTATGCTCATCCGAACAAAGGTACTGATGACATACATGCTCTTGCTTCTATGTCTCCTGACAGATCATCAGCATGGATAGTCGACTCCGGTGCGTCTTGTCATGTGACAGGTAATGCTAGTGAGTTCTCATCATATACTCACTTAGCATCGCCTGATAGTATTCAAACAGCTGATGGTACATTTCAGCCGGTGGTTGGTAAGGGTACAGTTGATTGTACTGGTTCTGTAACTTTGTCCAATGTTTTGCATGCTCCTTCTTTTCCAGTCAATCTTTTATCTATTAGTTCTATCATCCTCCAACTAAAATGCATCGTCTCTTTTGATATTCCCAAGGTAATCTTCCAGGAGAAGGGGACAGGGCGGAGACTTGGGACTGGCACATGGCGTAGTGGACTGTGGTATCTGGATCGTGAAGGGCTGGATTCAGCATTGGTGTCAGTCATAGAGGAAGCAGGAGTAGGATCTAAAATGAGTGCTGAAAATGAGTTAATGCTCCATCACCAGCGTTTGGGACACTCATCCTTTAGTGTTTTAGGTAGATTGTATCCTTCTTTATTTGAGAAAGCAAATAAACAGAAACTTGTGTGTGATGCATGTGAGTTGGGAAAGCTTACTAGAAGCTCTTATGTTAGTTCTGGTCATAGAAGTTCTCATGCATTTGACCTGGTACATTCAGATGTTTGGGGGCCTTGTTCCACAAGTTCTATGAATGGATACAAATATTTTGTTACATTTATTGATTGCTTCTCTCGTGTTACTTGGTTATACCTGATGAAGAATAAGAGTGATGTGTTTGGGTGCTTCCAAAATTTTCATAAGACTGTTCAGACTCAATACGGAGCAGTGGTGAAAGTATTGAGGTCAGATAATGGGACAGAGTATACCAACAGAGCCCTTGAAGAATATTTGTCAGCTCAAGGAATACATCACCAGACAACCTGTCCATACACTCCAGCACAGAATGGGGTAGCGGAAAGGAAGAACAGACATCTTTTAGAGGTTGCTAGAAGCATGATGATCTCTATGAATGTCCCAGAGACATTATGGGGACAAGCAGTATTGACCGCAGCAGCGTTGATCAACAGAATGCCCTCGAGAGTGCTGGATTGGAAGTCTCCGTGTGAGATATTGAAAGGAGATAATGGTGGGATCCTTCCACTCAAAGTGTTTGGCTGTGTGTGTTTTGTGAAGGACAACAGGCCGTCTGTCGGGAAGCTTGCCCCTAGAGCTGTGAAGTGTATCTTTGTGGGATATTCTGCTACTCAGAAGGGATATGTTTGCTGGAGCCCGGTGGAAAAAAGGTTGTTTGTGAGCATGGATGTGCACTTTCGAGAACTCGAGCCATATTACACTCAGAAGGTAACTTCATCTGCTGGTAACTCGTCCAATACTAGAAGTATGGGGCGAGAGGAGGAGAATGGTGAGAGACCGGAGAACAATGTGGAGAAATCCATTTCTGTATCGATTCCTTGGGAGGGCGAATTGGTTGAGGAGGAGTTGGTTGAGGAGGAGCCGGAGAATCACGAAGAAAAGGAACAAGAGACAAGAGGTGTTAGGCCCACTGTTCAGGGGGAGCTACTAACCTATAGTAGGAAGGGCAAACAAATTGGAGAAACAGTACCTACAGTGCCACTAGTGCTGCCAAGTCTCTTGCCAAAGCCCACCCCGACTCCTGAAATACCTACACCACCACCAATTTCATCCCAAGGTGATAACATTCCTACTGATAACATTCCTCTCCCTACTCCTCCCACACCAATATCAGTACGGAGGACTACTCGCAGTAATGCGGGACATCCTCCCGATAGATATGGTTGGGATCTTGCCCAGTATGTATCATATTCTAGTATCCACCCTGCATATGGAGCATTCATTGCATCATTGGACTCTGTTACTGTACCTAACAATTGGCAGGTTGCTAAGAAGGACCCAAAATGGAAAGCGGCTATGCACGAGGAGCTAGGAGCTCTAGAGAAGAACCGCACTTGGGAGCTAGTAAAGTTACCAGAAGGAAAGAGAGCAGTTGGATGCAAGTGGGTCTTCACTGTGAAGCAGAATCCAGATGGACAAGTTGAGCGCTACAAGGCTCGCCTGGTGGCAAAAGGGTATAGTCAGACATATGGCATCGATTATGATGAGACTTTTGCACCGGTGGCGAAGATGAGCACTGTTCGGACCTTAATCTCTCTGGCAGTAAATGGTGGATGGAAGCTACACCAACTAGATGTGAAGAATGCATTTCTTCATGGAGATCTAGTGGAGGAGGTATACATGGAGATACCACCAGGATTTGGTACAGATCAGACAGTGGGAAAGGTCTGCAGATTGAAGAAGTCTCTCTATGGTCTGAAGCAATCTCCCCGTGCTTGGTTCGACAGATTCAGAAGGGCTATGATTGGTATGGGATACCAACAGATCAACGCCGACCATACAGTGTTCTTTCGACGGAGTGGAGGCCACATTACTATGCTTGCGGTATATGTGGATGATATGATTATTACAGGGGATGATGAGAAGGAGATTGCCCAACTCAAAGTGAGACTGGGTAAGGAATTTGAGGTGAAAGATCTTGGCTTGCTTAGATACTTTCTTGGAATAGAGATAGCTCGAGGAGCGGAAGGGATCATCCTATCCCAGAGAAAGTATGCACTGGATCTTCTCAAAGAGACAGGAATGTTAGGGTGCAAACCTGCAACTACACCGATCGACCAGAGGTTCAAGCTAGGTGCTGAGGCTGGAGAACCAGTTGATCGTGACAGATATCAGAGGTTGGTGGGAAGGCTGATCTATTTGAGTCACACACGTCCTGATATCTCCTTTGCAGTAAGCGTGGTGAGTCGCTACATGCACGATCCGAGGAAGGGTCATATGGACGCTGTGTACCAGATTCTGAGATATTTAAAGAGTGCCCCCGGAAAGGGGCTGATATTCAGAAAGAATGGACATGTGAACATCGAGGGTTATTGCGACTCTGACTGGGCTAGCTGTGCTGATGACAGGAGGTCCACCTCAGGATATTGCATCTTTATAGGAGGTAACTTAGTCTCGTGGAAGAGCAAGAAGCAGTCAGTGGTGGCGAGATCGACAGCCGAGGCAGAGTATAGAGCTATGGCCTTAGGAGTTGCTGAGTTGCTATGGTTGAAGAGTATGCTGGTGGAGCTGAAGCTGGATCAAGGAGATAAGATGAAGTTATGGTGTGACAACAAGTCAGCTATAAGTATTGCCAACAACCCAGTGCAGCATGATAGAACCAAACACATCGAGATCGATAGGTTCTTCATCAAAGAGAAGTTGGATAGTGGACTACTGGAGCTAAGTCATGTTTCGACTAAGGACCAGGCAGCAGATTGTCTGACTAAAGGACTCAACTCAGTAGATATGATTAGAGGATGTGACAAGATGGGCTTAATAGATATCTTTCGCCCATCTTGAGGAGGAGTGTTGACATATTAGTATTATTAGGGACTTATTTGTAAGATTTGTAGGGGCCTATATAAAGCCCAAGAGATATCATAATGAATTAGGGTTTTCATTTCTTCAAAAGGATTGGTTATTAAGTATGCTACAGTTAGCAGAGAAGCCTTTTGCAGCTTTCACAATTAGTCACTGGAAAGCATTGTGAGGCAGCCACCTCTCCACACATATACCGAGTAATATGATGAAGATCTAAGTTGGGACAGAATGCATGCACTGCAGCAAAAATGTTGATCCAAATATCGCCATATATGACAGAAAACAAGGTAGATAATTGACTTCATTGGATCACAAACTACTTCATGTGCAAGCGCACAACATAAACTGTGTTAGTAGAAATACTAAGCAATGCAAACAAGATTAGATGAGAATGTCAATTCCCAGATCTACTTGCATAAATGTTTTCCCTGATTAATCTCCTCCCACTATATTTTCCATGATTTCCCTTAAGCATTTCATAAGCATGAGGCATACGACCAATCTATACTTTTGAATGTTTGTTGGCATATGACCAATCTATGCTTTTGAATGATTGTTTAAGCAATTACTTTGTACATAGTTATTTTGATAAATGACCCTTTAATTATGAACAAGTGGAGCCCTATCATTCAATTGGTTAGATGTTTTAAGTTGATTAGCTGATAAGGGGCCATCCAAACATGATACATAGGACATCTCTTCACATTGGCATGTCCATCTTCATCCGAGTATGAAGCATTAGTGTTCCAAACTTGTTTAATTTGGTCAGAAATTAAGGTTTCATAGTTTACTTAATATTAATATAACAAAGTAATAATACCTTCCTTTGACAAGATTACATGTATTGACTGCTTTCTCCAATAATCATTCTTTAAACTTCTGTGCATCCATGCATGCACACCATTATATACCCAACAAACACATATTACATGAATACATACACAAAACAAATACAAGCATGCACACACTCATACAGACACGGAAACATGGATTTTTGAGAGAATATATTCTACATAAGAAGAGATAGAGGATGAATTGACAAGTAACAAATAAATCTAAGAAGGAATTCTACAAAAATAGATAAAAGGGGGACCACGTATGTCAAAGACATCCAAGAGGCACCAGTATACCGGAAAATGTTGATCAACACTAAACTAATTGATTCTTTATGGTCTTTATTTCCAGTAGATATAGTATGTTTACAGGCCTGTTTGTGCAATTAAATAGGACCGATGTGATGATAGTAAGGAAAAATACATTTTTAATTAAGCCATCACATGCATTCCATAAGAAGTGTGAGACATCTTTCCTCTGTTCTTTTTAGCAATATCATCTAAAAGAGATGAAAAAGACTGTATAACTTCAAACTTCAAAGCTTTATTTTCGACCTTTTTCATCTCAAGGAAGCCCAGTTTTTGTATATAGCTTCTTGTTCCCAAGTCCACCATTTCCACAAGTATTCAGAATAGATGCTACTCAAGCCTAAAAGGAATCTGAGGAACAGAACAGCATTGGCTTTTTGCCAGGTAAAGTAGGACGTTATCAGTTCTTTGGCTTTGGTGGATGTTATCAGTTCTTTGGCTTTGGCCAGGCCAAAGAGAACTTAGTTAATTCTACTCCCAGATCCACCATTTACATATGCGTGCATGGCGCTGCACGCACATAAGCGGGTACCTGAGCATGCACGAGCGTGCCCAAAAGCACATAGATGATCTTATCCACGAGGGTTGCAGATTGGTTTTGAACCCGATTACCAAAGAAACTAGTTTAGGGTATAAGTAATGGAGAAATCGGGTTTTGCTTTGCCACACATGTCCATGGCGTGTCTGCGGAGCATCCCTCTCCAACACATGTCGTACACGCAAAATGCTGTGTCCGAGTAACCTAGAATAACATAAATTCTCAATGCAGTAACTAACAAAAAATAATGCATGTCATGGCATATCAAAGGTATCACAGACCCATCAAGCATATCACTATAGTATTCAAACAGATATAGGATCAAATCAAATCCAGTTCACAATTATATATCTTTTGATAGGAAACAGTCAATAGTAAGACAAGGATATGTAAGCCAAGATTTTGTTTCCAAAATTCGTGAAACGATAAAATCAAATTAACAAGTTTTGCCTCTGCGCTTTTATCATAACCTGGGACAAAACTGTTCTGGCCAAAAGAAACTATTCAACAACAGCAGGATTTATTAACTAAAAGGTTAAAACAATTGTTGGTGATTATCAGTTTAACTTTCATACCCAGAAAACAAGTTAAGAAAGAAATAATTCTAGAACTGTAATAAGATGTAATATTATATCCATGAAAGAAGCTTGCAAGATGTAAAGTTCTTTATGCCTACCATGACCGTACAAGGACTCATGAGAAGTTTGGCTCCAGCATGAACTGCCTCTTTTGCATCTCTAGCATCCAGGATAGTCCCAACCTGCAAATCATGTGGTGAGAAATAACTTGAAGTTAATTTTCTAGATATGTCTGAAAGTAAATAGTTAAAGGAAAAAATTAACCATGAATTTGTCCATCAACGTAAACCATTTAATTACTTAAATTATTAATTAAGATTTTTCAAATTCAAGCAAAGTTTCATAAGTGATGGAAAAAGCTCTTTTGAGGGAGAGGAAGGTAAAGGGGTATGGAATAATAAAAGTGATCTTAATTAATATCATAAGGTTAGTCAGGCAGATGATATATGTGTTCAGTTCAGCTAGATTTATCAGTGATCATCTCCATAAATATACTCAGCTTTATATATGCCTAAGAGTTCAACCAACTCAATTTAGTAGTCTATAACCTCTCCTCATTTATACTCTTTAATCTTTATTTATCCAGGAAGATTTAATTGCATGAGGATTTAATCTTTACAGGGTCACTCCTTGGTTGTACAAGTATTAATTGCATGATGAAAGAGAAATATTTTACTAGCTGACTACTTGTATCCTATGGACCCTAGAGAATTATATTGTTTGAAGAAAGCGCCTCCTTTATTTCCTTAACTTTCTATCTGGCAACAGTGTAAGAAGGTTGAAGTCATGTCAACAACCTGCGATAGAACTTCTCGGATCTTTCATGGATCCTTCTGCTCCAAGTTGATCACATTTTGACTTGCTCAGTCTAAGATATCTCTAGATAGAACCTCCACCGACTTTCACCTCCTACTCATCCAAAGCGATCTGCAACTTGCCAACTAGGCTTTGATATTGACATTATCCCTTGCAACTGAAGTTTTTTTAGATGAAGGTGAATAATTTTACCTAGAATGGAAGTGCAAATGAAAAATTGCTCTCTAGATCCTAGTCTCTCATCCACCACCAAACACCATCAAGCAACTATTTATTGGTTCTTCAACAATTCCATAAATGTCTACACTGGTTTCAGATGTAAAGGCAAAACCACTGATATTCATTGAGAAGACTTTCGTATTAACAGTCGATCTCCACATCCTTGCTGTAGGATTATTCATGTGATGGAAGAAGGGGATTCTTTCCAAAGACATTTTCCAATATGGTAATATGTGTTATAAAAACTATAATTAGATGTTATGTGAAATATTGACATCAAAGACGACCAAGTTCTTTTACGTTGTAAATTCTATCCTTAGTCCCAAGAGATCCATGGTACGTTTTGTAACGCTTGAATACACTTAATTTACACATGCACGGAGTTTAATAATCAAACTGCTAAAAAAGGCAAGTTTGTGAAAACAGAGATCTCATGAGATTCTCACTAACAAGATTTGGATAAAAACTCTAGTAATGACGATCGGGCAATCAAGCTATTCTATATAACTGGCCTGATATGCTTGCAATGTAAAGAGCTATCATCCAAACGGGGGCAAAACGAAAACAGATGAGGTGCATCGGGATGGGATGGAAAACGAAAACAGAGATAACTAGTTTAGCTTACCCCTATTGTCGACGAAGGATACTCTCGAACGAGCCCCTTTACAACCTGCAAAGAAACCAAATTCAGAAGTCCCCTACAAGATGGGTAACTGCAGAAGCACGGGAATACGGCACGCATGGAACAACCTCCAATGCGCCCGGAGTGGTCGTCGCAACCTCCAGCTGCACATAAAAAGAGGCATCTTAGACACACAGGGCAAGCTATAAACGAACTTTACCATCTCATTAAATAATAATAATAATAATAATAAACGGATTGTATTCGAGACAAAACTCACAACAGAGACGCCACCTCTGAGAGCAGCTCGAGCAGCTTCCATTGCCAGCAAGCCACTGCAAGCGATTAATCACAAAATGCACCGGCCTTTTCGAGTAAATTGGCGTGTTTGTGGCTCTTCTAGTGACTATTTCAAATGAATATTTCAATAATACCTCTATTTTTCTGGGAAATTTACGTAACTTTCCTCGTTGGAAACAAACGACTCTGTGAAACCCTAATTCCAACAAAAGCAAAAAAAAAAAGGCTGCGAGTTTTTTTCTTACTCTTCAGCTCGAAGGCAGGCGATGACGCGAGATTTCTCGATCTCGACGAGGGCCTCAGGACCAGTCGACGACGGCGTAGAGCTGCTAGCCCGCGCCGCTCTGAGCGCAGGATATGCTAACGTGCGCGGGGAACGGGGGGGAGGAGGAGATGGGAGGGAAAGGGCGGAGACGGCGGCCATGGGAGGAGGATTAGAGCTCCGGTGCTACGCCGGATAAGCCCGCCTAAACTCTTCTGTGGGGCCCAATTATCTTTCACTTTTGGGATAGCGTGTGGTTTAAACCCCTCGGGTCTTATGTATTTTGGATTAGGTCCCCGAAGCTTCATCTTTTGAAATGAGCCCCCAAATATTTTAGGGCTTTTTATTTCTAGGCCCAAATGATTACCCATCTTTACCCATAAACCCATTTACTATTTCATGTATCCATAAACCCAAAGATCTTTGGGTATTTATCTTTAAGCCTAACTTACAAAATACAATACTTGTAAGTGTGGGCCCCCCAAAAATTTTGAATTAATTCCAACTCTACCCTTTACAGTTTAATAATGTGTTCTTTATTAGGTGGACCCCTTTAAAAATGTAAAATATTAAAAATTTAGAGAGAGAGAGAGAGAGAGAGAGAGAGAGACACCGTATTCCCCTGTTCCTCTACCCGTGCGGGAGAGGAGAGAAGGGGCGGGAAATAAATCCCGTTCTCTCCCTCCCTTTCTCTCTCTCTATTTCCTAATTAACTCCCCCTCCCATCCATTAATACTACTGTAGGCTGTCTAAAAATAATAATAGATAGCTGATTCCCCATCAAACACCGATGATGGAAGTTACAATCTGACGACTTCCAGAAGGCTACAATTCGAAGATTTTCACATATCAAAGAGCCAAAGCAAAGATTACAAAACGACAAGCTTTAGCAACGCTCTGACAGAAAGAGATTACCAATCAACGATCTCTTCAAACCAAGACGTGGAAGTCCTCCCCGCGTACCATCGTCAAGACACTACACCGATTCAATCACCTACGCAGCTTCAACCGCTACAAATACGAATGCAGCTTCTTATGTGAGATGATTGATCTTGATGGCTGCGACAACAACATGACTAATATTATATTAGCAACCATTAGAGGTGCTGATAAGCAGTGTAATGATATTCGACACACTGAGGAGCACATGGTTAAACCATGCAAAGAAATCTTAGTGGAGATCGTGACCTGCAGTTGATAGAGCGTTGTTGAGATGCCTCAATTGTCACAAATGGCCTGAATAAGACCTTCTTTACTGGTCATTGGTGTCATCCATATATAAAGACAGAGAAGCTCGAACGCAGCTCTAACCGCCACCGAACGCAGCTCCATCGCTGTCAACGCAGCGCATCCATCGCTGTCAACGCAGCTCATCAACCGCTGTCAAACGCAGCTCCATCGCTGCCCAACGCAGCTCATCAACCGCTGTCAAACGCAGCTCCATCGCTGCCCAACGCAGCTCATCAACCGCTATCAAACGCAACTCCATCGCTGCCCAACGCAGCTTACCAACCGCTGCCAAACGCAGCTCATCAATCGCTGCCAACGCAGCTCTATCGTTGCACGACACAGCTCGTCACAGCAGCTCTTTCCAATCACCGCCAGAACGCAAGTCAAGATTCTGACTCATTCAAACGTGATCGTAACAACTTCGAAGCTGTTCTCTACCCACGATATAGGGAGTGGTTTACGTGGGTTGTTACACCCGATTAATGGGGTAACTAAACCCCCATTTAGGTGCGGATTATGGGGGCAGTTACACCCCTAATCCCCCTATAAATATCAACAAACTCAACAGAGTTAAGGATCGGATTTTTGATAATCAGATCGAGGGACGAGATATCATTGGAGATCGGATCTTGTGGCGAGGCTGGAGAGGATCTTTCGATCAGATTTTCCAGAATCAGAAAAAGAGGATTGACTCCTTACACAGTCTGGGAAATCAACAAACGGAAGAGCTCTAGACCATCGATATTTGGCCTATTAACCGAATTATTTTCGGTTCGAACAACTCTATTATTAGAGTTTGTTGCTTGTTCTGAATCACGAAACTCATCAAGAGTTATCAACCAGACAAGACAGTTGTTCCAGTGAGTATAGATATTCGGATCGTCAACGAGAAGCAAACTCGATGCAAGCATTCGAGGGAGGCATCTCATCGCTACCAAGAAGAACCCAGAATTAAAGAATGAATTTTTCAAGTAGGAGACGAAGGCGGAGCCACACTACGAGGATCGGTGAGATAGTCGGGATGTTAATGATTGAAGAATGGATTTTTCAAGTAGGAGAAGATGCTTGAGAGAAGGCGGAGTTCGGGAGAACTCATTGATGGTGGTTTGATCTCCAAGTAGGAGATTGTTGGTCTTGAAAGTGGAGACCCAAACCTAGAATCAAAATCAACAATCACATGAAAATTCAAGACAGACCATGGGTGTGGTCTGCACCACACCAGGGTGTGGCAGAATCTGCCCTGTCTGCCATGGGTGTGGTCTGCGCCACACCAGGGTATGGCAGAGTATGTCCTGTCTGCCATGGGTGTGGTCTGTGTCACACCAGGGTGTGGTAGAGTTTGTCTTGTCTGCCATGGGTGTGGTCTGCGCCACACCAGGATGTGGTAGACTCGTTTTAGAATCCTAATCTGTTTGGGATTGCGTTTTGTTATAAATAGAAACACGTCCCTTTAGGGTTTAAGAGAGAAAAAGAGCACGAAAAAAGGGTTTTGAGGGCTCTTTGAGGTTAGAAATCTTAGAGAGAGAGAGAGGCCAATTGCAAGCATTGTAATCTTCTTCAAGTAATCAAAGAATTGTGTGGTGTGGCTCCCGAGGACGTAGGCACGTTGCCGAACCTCGTTAAATTTGGTGTGTTCTTTCTTGTTTACTTTCCTACAAGTTTTTATCTTTGATTTGTGGTGAATTTCCTTCTTGCTCAACTCTCAAACACAAGATCCAGAAGGATACGGATTTGATTTGATTATTTCGAATCCCCAACAACGACTGTCAGTCTCTTGTAATCGGCGAAAGCAATTTCCGTGTCTGGTATTCGACAATTTGACTGAAACATGGTATCTGATTTAGTATAAGTTACTGTTGTGTATATTCCAACTCACGGTCCACACGACAGGTATGTCATTTTCTTGTATGTAACATCTTACTGAGATAGGGGGCGCGTAAAGCGATTTCCATGCGTGATGCCCATTTTGTTTAGCCTTCTAGTAACGTGCAATATACTGATGCTGCATTCAACAAGGAAAAGAAATTTAAAAAAATGCAACATGCTCTTATTTGTTAGGACTGGTTTTTGAGAAACAGAAGCATGCTAGTCTTCTCCAATTTGCAGATAAAATTTCCCCCCCTCTTGCTCTATTAATATGTGGATCAACGGTTCACATAAAAAAAGAAAACCAGTAGGGTCTTAAAGAGCAATCCTATGTCATTTTCCCCGTAAGTATCAGTTTAAACCAGTTGAATTGTTCGAGTTTCCTCACGAACAAGCCATTAATCTCAGTTACCTTTTGATATATAGAAATCAGACTCTATTCAAATTAAACATGTACTTATAGGACAATTCTAGTGAATAAAAGTGCAAAATATAGAAAGGAAACACATACATATAATAACATGACAACGAGTGAATCTTTCGGTACAAAACCAAGCTAGTCATTTACAAGTCTTTCAGAATAAGGTAGGAATGATCCATATAGGGGGAGGCCAATGCAAGTGCTGTCCAAGATTGGGTATAGGCTTCATGCTCCAATTCTTCACATCAAACACACCCATCTCACGTGGCTTGTGTTTGAGGTGGTCAAAGTCAAAGTTTTTGTCGTCTGTGAAGTAGATGCAGTTCCCTCCAAGCTCAGGAAATTTTGTTGCAGAGACGGAAAATGAGGTATTTGAACCAACGAAAAAGACATTGTCCCCGAGATCATCCTCAGGGTTGAATTCAGGGTTATCCGCGTCGAGCCTAATGGCCATAAATGCATCGTAATATAGGCCCTTGTATAGCATGTATAGTTTTCCGTTCAAGGACTCTACCAATAGTTTGGTCATGCCGCAATAAAATCGTATTTCTAGAGTGGATTTGGGACCAGATGTAAGGTGATGATGGTCCCATACATGGAGTACCCCTCCTACATCCACACCATACAGTTGTCCTTTGTGGGGGATGATATCCGCGATACTGCCATGAGATGCTCGTGGCAATGAAGTCCAGCTATTATCTCCAACTTTCGCGATTGCCATGTTACTAAAACCATCGTAATCCTCGTCGTACAGCCTAAAAGGGTTGTGGAGAAGAATAACTGTGAAGTCACCGCTACCATCAGCAAGAGGAGGCAAGGACAGGATTGCCTTGTAGAGAAATAAGGGACGGTCAACCTCTGCGTAGTCGCAGACATAGGGTAGAGTGGTGATAGAGGGGAGCTGGATTTGCACTCCAGTTACCGGATTCAAAAGATGCATCTCTGACGTATCATAGACAGTTATGAGCCAACCGTGGGAAGATCCGATGCACACGCGTCTTCATATCTCTGGAAGAGGGAGAGGGATGCTGTAGGTTCGATTTTCAGAGAAGCTCAAGAATTTAGCACTAATATCGTCTTCGCCGGGTAGCATGAGCCAGGGGGAATCAGGCTTCGGGCGCCAGGCTTTCTCCCGAACGGCTTGGTTCCATGACTTGCAAACACAGCTCAATCTAATGTGATCCGGCAAGGTCAACTTCTGGAGGATCAGCCCGAGGAGCTCCGTTGGAAGCTCTGCACAATTTTTCTCAGCCATATCATGGCAGGTTTTCTGTCGTTTGAAACCAGCAGCAGCCATGTACACCGTTGACCTGATCGAGGAAAATAGTTACTCAGTTCTGGTACGAGTGAATGGCACAAACCCTATAAACCCTGGGAAAAGAAAAACCTTCTGATCAATGATAATCAGATTTCCAATTGGTTATATATATAGCTGCATGTGATTTGATTAATCCGATTCCCAGTAGGAGTTTTATTAATGCGATCATATTCCTATAGTGATTAGAACTAAGAGGTTTGTTAATTTAAATCATGCTCCTGTACTAGGGATTGGGCCGATTAGGAGGTTTAATTTACTGATTAATTCAATCCCTACAGTCATTAGGAATATGGGTAGGCAATTGTATTAGGTTTCCGGATCCGATAAGGTTTAAGTGGAAGGGCTTGTTTATCGGGTCGGGTAGAAAATTTAACGGGTCAGATTCAGACCGCGCCGTCTGTTTTTGCGTCGGACCGAGGTCGAGCACACCCCCGTATTCTATTACTTACAGTTTTATTTATACCCGTCAAATCCATTAATTAATTGTTTTAAATGACAACCTACTTATAATACACAAATCCATTAGTAATACAAATATGAAAATTTGAAGGCTGATATAAAAATGGATTCTTCGCTCAAGAATTAAACTCACGTACGTCGCCAAGAATTACTCTTCGCTCTTCAAGAACTCCTCTTCGGTCTTCAAGAACTGATATCACCGAGAAATCATTTCGTCAAAAGATTTTCAAGACTTTGCAGATTCTTTCTCCTCTTCAAACGGTGAGTTCTCCTGTTAACTTTCAATTCTCCTACATTCTCAAAATGAAGAATTTTTCAAAACAGACCCGCTTCAACTTTTTTTTCTTAAAACCGACCCGTTTTTTTTTATTTATCAAAACCGATCCGATTTTGTAATTAACAGCTTAATCACCATCATAAACAGTCGGGGTTGGTAACCCCGACTATTTAGGAAGGTGTTAAACCCGAATTAGAAGCCTTAAACCCTAAAAATTAATGTCCTAAATAGTCGGGGTTGCCAACCCCGACTGTTTAGGAATGTGATTAATCTGCTAATTACAAAATCGGGTCGGTTTTGATAAAAAAAAAACGGGTCGGTTTTAAGAAAAAAAAGTTGAAGTGGGTCTGTTTTGAAAAATTCTTCTTCTCAAAATCATTTTAAATATTGTAATCTGAGAGTCGTTTGGTTTATGCATTGGATAGTTAATTTTCTGCGCCTGTTAGTTAATGAGTAATCAACAAGATAATTATCAAAAACATTAACTATGTCAAGGTTAACGCAAAACTAAACACGCAAATCATCAGAAGAAATTCTTATGTAATATTGACCTTCTCTTCAAAAAGCTAAAAAAAAGGTCCTGCGGTGTGGATCCACACAGAAAACCACGCGTGAAAAAGTTTATAGATCCTTTAAGTCACAAATAACTAAGTATTCTGTCATCAATAATTTGTCCGAACTTCACACAAATAACTATCAAAATGTACATTTCTACACATAATAATATTTCTAGATTTTTGAAAAGTTTATAAATCCTTTTAAGTCAGGTTAAGTGATTTGTTTTTAGCAATTTCCGGATAGCCTTGTAGACATACTATAAACAAGTGGCGTTTGCCATAAAAAGATAGTCAATTCATGCTTTACTGCCGATTATTATTTCTGCACATAATAATCTAACCTTTTTCGTTTTTATCACAGAGTCGTGGATACAACCAAGAAAGAAGTGTCTCTAATTGTTAGTGAAGAAAACTCACCTACTGCTGGACATGATTCGAATGCAAGACCCTCTGCTGGTCTAGAATCTGCCGATGGTGAATCATACAGGATTCCTCCCTCCTCGTCACTGGAAATTGAAGAGCAACATGAGGAGCTGGCAGAATCTAACCCCAGCACGGGTATATGAAACTCACGTACTTTCCCAAATTATATTTCTGTTTATGTCAATCCTAAAATATCTTTTACTTGTCCTAAAAGATGTTGTTTTGTTATTTAGATGCTCCCCTGCCAGAGACATCTAATGCAGACTCTAATTCTGGCATTGAGAAAGCTACAACGAGCACAGGTATCTGGAACTCACGTACATTCCCAACTTGTATCGATGTTGATGTCAATCCTAATATATCTGTTGCTTGTTCTAAAATATGTTATTTGTAACCCAGATGATCCCCTGCCGGAAGCATCTAATGCAGACTCTAACTCTGGGGTTGAGGGGGCTGCAACCAGCATAGGTATATGAAACTCACATACTTTCGCAACTTATGTTTCTTGTTGTTGATGTCAATCCTAAGATATCTGTTACTTGTTCTAGAATATGTTGTTTGTAACTCAGATGCTCCCCTGCTTGAGACATCTAATGCAGACAACTCTGGGGTTGAGGGGGCTGCAAATGCAGACTCTAACTCTGGGGTTGAGGGGGCTGCAATGAGCACAGGTATCTGAAACTCACATACATTCTGAACTTATATGTTTCTGTTGATCCCCTGACTGATACATCTAATGCATATGTTGCAGGGGGGGGGGTGGTGGCTATCCCTCTAAGGAGAAGCAGCAGGATAAAACGAAAAACCCGATGGCTAAGTGAAGGAGAGATGTTGGCGGCATTGGGAAAAGACTCTTTGCTTTCTGTTCGTGGAGTTTGTGCCTTGTACAGGCGCCAAAGTTTGGAGGAGAAATTTGCGCAAAGAGCACTTGAAAGAAACAATAAGGGTTTCAGCATAGCAGATGTAAAGCTGTAAGAATAGAATATTAAGTTCCTTCATATTGTATTATTTTTTGCTTAGAAAGAAAATGATATTTATGTCTTACTTTTTATTTACAGGGCTTCCTGTTATGCAAAGTTCATGCTTGGAGAACAAACACAAGGGGATATCCAAAGATCAGTGCGTGAGCTGGACAGAAGGTATCCTTATGCATCAGATAGATGCATAACGATTTCCATGAGATACTCGAAACAGCTCTTTAGCATCTATGAGAAGGAAGAGGACCAATACTTTCACCCGTAGTGAGGAGAGAGCCTTATAAATACTAAAGACTGTCAGTCTCTTGTAAATGGCAAAAGCAGTTTTCCTTGTGTAGTATCTGACAATTTGACTGAAACATGGTATCTGATTTTAGAGCCTTATAAATACTAAAGACTGTCAGTCTCTTGTAATCGGCAAAAGCAGTTTCCTTATGTAGTATCTGACAATTTGACTGAAACATAGTATCTGATTTTAGTATAAGTTACTGTTGTGTATATTCCAACTCACAGTCCACATGACAGGTATATCATTTCCATGTAACATCTTATTGCGATACAGGGGCAGTGTCGCTTAAGGCAATTTCCATGCATGTGATGCTCATTTTGTTTAGCCTCCTAATAACATGCAATATACTGATAATGCATTCAACAAATATGCATCATTTTGTATAGCGTCATTTTGTTTAGCCTCATTTTGTTAAGGCAATTTTCATGTAACATCTTATTGTGAATCTGATACTAAGTTGTATATAACACATTTCTGATACTGATCTGATTTAGCATCATACATTTCAAATGCTAGCAGTTTAGAATTCAGCACTGGTAGTTTCAGGAAACTATATCATAAGTTCTGAGGCAAGAAACCAGAGCCAGTTGATTGTGTAGACAACTACAGGAGAAGTTCTGAGGCAAGAAACCAGATGTCCATCATGCATCATCCTCATCAATCAAAATGTCTTCAATGCACCTTAACAAATATGCATATAGATGAGGATTTAGAATGAACTATTTAACGAGGACGAATCTGCTAAGTCGTATGTTACACGTTTCTAATACAGAGCTGGTTTTGCATCAGACATTTCAAATGCTTACAGTTTAAAATTCATAACTGCTGATTTTAGGAAATTATATCAAAAGTTTCAAAGTAAGAACCCAATAAGTTCTCACATGGTATAAAATATTTCCTAATTTCAGTACAGTAATCATCAAAAAGTATGAAACATATTTACGCTAGAAATTAGACTGATATAAGTAACATGCACAACACAGACACTATATTACACGTATCAGAATTCTGATTTGGGACTGTTACCATGTAGCAATCATATATCATAATTTCTAACAGTTTAGAAACTAGAAACAATTGATTGTAGACTACAATTAAAAAAATTAAAGTAAGAAACCATATGTCCATCATGTATCATACCCATCAATCAACATGCTTCCAACAACGCCCCAGTATGATTGAACATGGGACTATTTGGACAATGATGTTAATTGACCATTCAATGGTATTTATTGTATACTAGATTCTGATTGTTGTTGTTAATTAAGTTAGATGCATAAACTGAGGGTTACTTGTATAATCCCTCTTATTCGTGATAGAGAAAAAACAGTGGAAATTACACAAACAAATCAGATTTTCAACTTCTTTGAGCTCACATCATAATCATGTGAGTTATTCCTTCGAGTAATGATCACCTTTCTGTATTAAGACCATCTTTTTAATAGGAACCTAAACTACAAGTGTAGACGTTAAAATTTGCTTATAGGTTCCCGCACACAGCTCGAGATGAAGAGAGGATGAATAACGTCGTTAGTTAAGTCAAAGGAGATCACCCGATGCCAAAAAGAAGCAAAGGAACGTGTACGGAACGACGAAACGTGCGAAATAACGGAACGAGACACAATCAGGAGTGTCTCGAATTGCGAGTCACTTCAGAGTGACTCGCAAATGACGAGTCACTTCAGAGTGGGTATTTGTTTGTAGATAAATACATAATATTCCGTCCTAATACAACAAGGACTTGAAGTAAGTGGAGCCATATTTGGTGAATATCATTAACAAAGCCCTGTTTTGATTAGGACTCGGATTGTCTTGTTTTAGGAAACATGTCTGAATTCTGTGTTGGGAAACATTAGGGTGACTTGAAAATTAAGAGTTGGTTTGGGTAGGTAATTTTACTAGGTATCAGGATCCGATAAGGTTTAAGTAGAAGCGTTTGTTTATCTGGTCGGGTAGATAATGGTGTCGGATTCAGACCATCAGGTCTGTTGTTGCATTGGAACGAGATCGACCCAATTGAAAAGTTAAATTATTTCGTAACGAACACCCCATATTTTACAACCTATGGTTTTATGACCCGTCAAATTCATTAATTGTTTTAAATGACAACCTATTAATACACAAATCCATTAGTTTGTTTTTAGTTTAATTAAAGGTGTACAAATATGAAGATTTGAAGGCCTAATATAAAAAGAGGTTTGCTTCGGTGCTCCAAAAATAGTTTTTTTTTAATTTTAAACTAACAAAAATAACAAATGAGCTAACATAACAAAAGGGTATTTTTGTTTTTCAAAATTATCTTTTTACCTGCTTTCTATCCTAAACCGCTAACTAAACGCAACAAAAGAAAAAAAATCAGCCAAGGGGATCACCGCCTTTGTTCTGCCACACACAAAAAAGACAAGAAATCAGAGAGAGAAGGAAGAAGCCGAGTTACCGATCTCTAAGTGAGATCACCGCCGACCAAATGTCCGCCTTCAGAATCCCATCCAACGAAGTGGCGATCCTCCACCGCGAGCTCTGTCGCTTGATTTCCCCCTTTCTTTTTTCTCAAACAAAACCCTAGTTCCGTTCGATTCCGCAGAAGTTTTGTCTTCGGACACTGTCGAAGCATCAATAGAAATTACTTTCTTTCTCCGCTCCCTGAGGGAAATCAGAGTCTGAAGCATCAAGAGAAATCAGAGTCTCTTTCTTAGCCACGGAGAGTTCGACCAAGATCAAGGTATGTAATCACTCATTAGAACCCTAAATTTTTCTCTGATTGTGGGAAAATTGATAACATATTGTTTTCTAATCTTTGAATGGTACTGATTTGAAATTAGGAACATTCCTTTTCAATACTACTAATAATATTCGTTTACTTATGTTGAATAAGGATTTTGTAGCAAATACTAAATAGAAGGCATCTGGGATTTGAACTGTAAAAGGCAGTTCTCATGATTAAAACTAACAACACAGAAAATTTATGACTGAATTTCTCCATTAGTGATAAAACTAATCATCATGTATTGTTCAATAATTCTGAAGTCTGATGATCCATTTCTCAACAAGTTAAAAATTGGTCATTTTTTAAAAGATCAATAATTGAGACCGAACCGATCAAAAGAATAATTAAGGGATAGAGGGTTCGGTTGGTTGTGGATATCTATATAAAATTATGAAAATAAATTTAGTTTTTAGTCATTGTTGAATCTAGTGGTATGGCATTGAAAGTAAATAGAAAGTCAGTGGTAGATTGAAAAGGAAACAAAGCGGAAAAGATGACGTGGTTTCTCTAGTTCAAGTTAAGAGTTGGGGATCATCTCCCTACAATTGAACTGAAATGCAGTAAGAGAAATTCAACTTAAAATTTTGAAACAAGCTTAATTTTCTTAGGCACTTTCAAGTTTTATAAAATTTTGAAACAAGCTTAATTTTCTTAGGCACTTTCAAGTTTTATAAACTTTGTTTAATACAAATTTTCTCAAGTTGTTTATGTAAATTGTACTATTAGTTCAAATATCAAATGATTTTAATGGTTAATGTAACATAAGTTGCATCATTGTATATTTTCATTAGAACCTAATATAATATTTATCAACTATAAAAAAACACATTAAAAAAATTATAAGCTGATTTTTTTTTATAATTTTCCAAATTAGTTTAATCTTTTTAGCATTGTAAGTACCTGAAACTGATACCTGATGATCCATAGTTGCTTTGGTGATATATGGGAAGGGCGTGGTACTGGTATTATTGTCAAGATTTCAAACGTTCGGTCAGATAGCCCCAATTTACTTAATTTGTCATATACTGATTGATATTTGAAACCTTTGACAAGGTAGCCGCATATTTATTCCCGAGCAGGCCTTTTATTTGGTGGGTAACATCGACGAAGCTACCGCGAAAGCTATGAACTTAGAAGGGAAACTGTCTATTTTGTTCGTTTGATCTTGTATGCGTACTTAGGGTTTAGTTAGGGTAAAATTCAAAGCAAGTTTCTAATTGTTGTTGATAAAAATTGGTTAATGTTATTTAGCATGAAATTTGTTGTTAAATTTTGGTTGATTAGAAATTTATTTATTTATATATGTTAATAAATTCTAGAAGATGATTTCAGAACCTTGTTTTTAGAATATTTTTTCTATCAGTCAACAATATTTAATAGGGCTAATATTTTGTTGCATGACTAATTTTTTTACTAATGTCTTATTAATTAATATGCATGCCAGGTGAATCCTGAGGCCCATCCTTAATGGAATACAAGGACATAATTCTGAATTCCTATACCACTGAAAATGAATGGTATGAGTTTTATAATTCATATGCCAATTTGAAGGGTTTTAGCATGAAGGGATAAAGTGAGATTTGATAAAAATGGCAATCTTTATTATCGCAAATTTGTTTGTTTTAAAGAAGGAATTTGTGAAACTAAGCATATGGATAGAGCAGATAGAACATATAAAGAACGGTCATTATCCAGATGCAAGTGTGATGCATGTCTTAAGATTTTTTTTTGATAATGAAACACGGAGATGGTTCGTTTATAGTTTAAGGGATATGCATAATCATGAGCTTGCAGGCCCAGATGAAGTTCCCTTTCTTCGCTCTCAACGAAGAGTTAATGATGAACAAATGGAAGAAATTCATATGCTAGCACAATGTGGCATTCCTAAAAATAAAATTATGGATTTTATGGAGTATAGAGACGGAGGTTATGAGAAGGTTGGTTTTATTAGAAATGATATTTATAATAAGTGGGGTAACATATCACGAAGAATAATAGAACAGGGAGATGCACAAACTGTATTGAATACGATGGAACAAAGAAAACGGAAAGATGTAGATTTTTTCTATTTGAATAAAACTGATGATGAAGGCCATCTTACACATTTGTTTTGGACTGATTCTCAATCAAGAGTTGACTATGAAGCTTTTGGTGATGTTTTATTATTTGACAGTACTTATCGAACAAACAAATATGCCATGCCTTTCATACCATTTATTAGTTTAAACCATCACCGGAGAACAATAATATTTGGATGTGGAGTAGTTTGTAATGAGACAACTGCGAGCTATATTTGGTTGTTGAAGGCATTTAAG